TACTGGAAAACAAAAAACAATCAAGAGGAACCGAAAAAGAAGAAGAAATGTAGATATGATGAAGGGGAGAAAGGGAGAAAAACGTGTGGTTACTAATCAACCAACATCTCATCCTCTCATATTTCTGTCCTATTCACTTCCTATTTGCCTCTTCACCTCCCTCCGTACTTGCGTTTCTATCTCACAGATTCCCTCTGTACTCCAGCCTCCTCTGTCCCTCTCTGCCTCCTCTCTCCTGTCTCAGTGTAGTAAAGTTTTTCTCGGTGTTTGACGCGACAGCGAGGCATTAGTGCAGACGGGCTACTCATCCGCTCAGGGTCAGTGCACAGGGCAAGGAGGAGAGGGAGGAGAGGGTGGAAGAGAGGAGAGATGGACTCTCTACAGCCCAACTTAGAGGGGGCAGACAGGGCCAGATCCTCTGAGGTGTGTGTGTGTGTGTGTGAGTGTGTGTGTTTGCGGTTCTGTGTGTGTGTGCGCAGTGTATTTGTGCATATGTATGCCAGTTGTGTTGATGTATCTGTTCTCCACTGCTTTGCCGTAGAGGTCAACAAACAAGTGCAAGTCTCCTCCGTGCTCACTTGCAGCTACAGATGAACACACATCCTCTGCCTCTCTTTCTCTTTTACTGTCTCCCTATCGAACTCTTCCACATCAAACAGCTATCAGAGCAACATATGTCAAACCTGGAGGGAATCGAGGGTGTACAGTGTGTCCCTTTGCACTCGAGTGAACTGGGTGGAGTTCAGGAGCAAAATGAAAATGCCCTACAGATCTGTAAAGGCCTAAGAAAGGGAGATTGAATGTGTAAATGTTGCTCTACAGCGTGTGTCCGGAGTATCAACTCTTCAAGGATGCAATAACATTGCGTCAAACACACAGACGTCTGATCCCCTAGAGGGAGCTCTATTCTGAGGGAAAAGACAGGCAAAGAAATGCATGCATAATATTCAGAGGGTGTGTGTGTGAATATAAATGTGTGTGTTTGCATGCATAAGCAGAAATGGAAATTTTATCTCTCTCTCCTTTTCTCTGTCTTTCTTGCTCCTGACTTGAGCAGGTAATATTCCTCAGTGGTTTCAAAGGGCAAAAAAAGAGCCCTTTCCCAGATATCCCAAATTCCCAGCTCTATGATTCCCCTCATTACAGATGGGAACGTCGAAGCCTTGTCCAAGTGCTCCCTGGTCTACTCTTAATTAACCGCTGCCTCTCCCGGCGCCCCTAAATGGAGACACAGGAAGAGAAGAGGCTCTCACTTTTCCTCTATCCTTCTACCTTTTCTTTTCCTCCTTTCCTCTGGGCTACTCTCCTCTCCAGAGATCCAAAGCACTGTGCTCTTTAAACAGGATCACTTAGAATCCATGTAGCTTCCTTCACTGCTGAGGTGGATTTAAATGGCATTTTGCTCACTGTGTTTGGAATACAAATTACTGAATGTATAAAAAAAATGTAATGCTGAGGTCAGACTCTTGCACTAGGCTTGATTTTCTGTTTTCACTTTCATATAGTGACACAGAACGAGCGACATAATTCACCCCCAAAAGATACACAAATAGATAAAGAGAGAAACATTTGCATCTCATCATTACTTTGTTGCATGGCGATTTTATATCTTTTCACAATTGGTTGTTGTTAATAGGCAAAATTGTTCTGCTGTTGCAGGTTTTTATGGGAATTTACTAAAATGATGGAAAATTTAATTTGACTTTGATTTGACTTCTCTTACTCATCTCTTACTACGAGCCATAAATGGAAAAAAGGACTCAAAATGTCCACTAAAGCTGTCAAATTTGATTTTAAGTGCACACATTGCCAAGAAAAGCAAAAACAATATAAAGAAAACGTTGAAAGCACACTTAATGCTCCTCAAACAGATTTGTGAAGTTCAGTTACAACAGGCTACCTGATGAAGATGCAATGTCAACAATGTAAATCTTGTTTTAATTAGCGTGTGCATGTCTTTTTTCTTGATATAACTAGTTTTTCTGTTGTATTCACTATATTTCAGCACAGGAGCGCAGTTGGATATCTTTCTTACCTGGAACGAGTGAATAGGACTGTGGACCTGACACACTGGCTCCTAACTCTGCCCCTGTACCAGGATTGGCCAAACTGTTCTTCATCTCATCCAGTCCACCGGTGAGTGAGGCCATGGCCGAATAATCTGACGTCTGGGCAGAGGCAAGAGATTGAGAAAAGGAAGGAAAAAAGAGAACAAAAAGATCAAATCATGACATTTTCTGTTAGACACAACATGTATACTGTAGTGTTGGATGTTGCTTACAGCTGTGATCAATCTGTTTTTTATATCGTGCTACATTTCCAACATGCTGCCCCTACCTTATAGCAAAAAGCCATGAAGCTTTAGTATAAACACACATACAAAAAACACACCTACAGAGAGTTTATTGATCTGTTTACAAAGACAGGGATTTACTGTACAACCAAGTCCAACAGTCTATAACCACAGGATCAGCTTGCTCTTTCTCTTCATCTCTCTCACCCTCACACGCACACACACACATACA